ATTGTTTTTAACAATAAAATACGTATGGTTGGCCTCATTTGTAAAAGGGAACAAATGTGTCTACTTTTGCTGTTGTTGCTGTTTTTATGCCTAGCTGACTGCTGTTTTGCAGTGGTTGTTGATGATTCAGATGATTGTTGATGATGGTTGTGGAAAGTTTTTGTTGCTGTTACTGCTGTTGTTGTTTCCTGGCCTCTACTTTTGCTTTGCAGTCGCAAACACAGCTGAAGAGAATGTTGCCCATCTCCAAAAAATCCATTCAATCTGCCCTGCTGATGTACAATCTCAAAAGAAACAGCAGCAGCAGTTTTCAGCGGGTAATCTTCGCCTAGTCATCACCGTTGAAAAACTAATTTTTTGTTGATTACAGTTTTTAAATAGATATCTTAAGGTGAAAAGTCTGAAAGATTCTTAAACGAGTAAGTTTCAAATACTATTGTTTTTGACTGATACACTGTCAAAAAACAAAACTGCAAAGTTTGAAATTATTAAAAAGAGCAAAACTGTCAAACTCAAGCTGTTTCTATAGAGAACTTTATTGAGTGTCGTGCAAGAAGTACTTCTCACCTCAAGATTTCTATTTAAGAATTGTGTGAAGCGGAAAATTAGTTTTCCAACGGTATATAACATGTTAAAGGATTCAACTGCTCAATTTAGACCCAAAAATGACTTATTTTGGGCATTGCTCTTTCAAACTTCTACGATTTCTGGAACATAGCTAGAATTGAAAGTGTTAGAGACAAACAAAGAGACAGACGGACGGACAGACTGGCAAAGTAATAAGCGCGTTTCATTCTGAACTTGAGTAAGTGGTGTAGATAGGGCGGAGCAGGCTTTGCAAATCAGATAGGCTAAGTATAAAAAGTACACACGATTTTTATTCATTTACTGTCTATTTTTATATACACTCGTTGTCAACAATGAGACAATCATCAACAACACCACCACTTCTTCCTCCACAAGCAAGGCCACGCTTAGGATATCGTGCTCCAGCTCCTACTCGTGTTACATCTTTTCAAAATTCGCGTCGAGGGGACACATTCCTCCCAAATCGTGCAGAAAATCTTTCACTTTCATTTCCCCAACGAGGAAGAATTGGGTATCTCTACCCAGATCTATCTCGGGGAAGGGGGAAGTTTCCAACAAAGTAATCATCAACTTCTTGCATCAAGCGGTGAATTCAGCCCACCCCCTTGTCCTCCACCGTATTCTTAAAGAGAATTTCAGGAGTCTTTTCAGAATACGGTGGAAAACTTAACCGTTCTCCATTACCTACTTTGTTAAGTGGCAGAGTCTCTCGAAAGTCTTTTACACTTTACGAGAGGAACAGACTTCTTCCTTTTCTTCCCCTGTATACAAGAGGCTTTTCTGAGCCTCTTTTACTATACGGGGAATTCAACCGCTCATTTCAACCTCCAGAGTATACTCTAAGATGGAGTGCTCCTCAGCTTCTTCCACGAGTATCAGAAACTGACTCGGCATCTCGTGCTACATCGCGTGGTGCAGGTGGCTTGCCACTTCCACTATGCAGAGAAATCAACTGTTTTCTTTACTTCTACCGTGTAGTGCATGTGGTATTTTTCGCCATTTTCACTACGCAGAGAAATCAAATGTTTTCTTTACTTCTCCCGCTGGTCGACCTGGTAATCACGCATGGCGGAAAGTAAGTGTTTAGATATTTTAAAGCATTGTTTACCTGATCATGTTCTTTTTTTCCTTCCTAGCAACACCACCACGGAGACGTTCAGCTACGGCAAGCCTATGATTGTGATGCCACTCTTTGCCGACCAGTAAGCGAATTGTTTACTGTTCTCCACTGAAAGTCTAACTTTGCTTTTTTCGGATCACCAGATACGACAATGCCCAGCGAATCGCCGACAAGGGCTTCGGCCGCCGCCTGGAGCCGTACATTTTTAAGGAGGAAGAGCTGATCACCGCCATTGAGCAGCTGCTCGGAGATGCTTTTTTACAGGCCAGGTGCACCTTGGCGGCGAGGCGAATTCAGGCCTCCCAGAGCAAGAAGCTGGTGTGCGCGCAAATCGAACAAGTGGTGGCAAAGTTCAGAGCTGATTCGCATGCAAAAGAACAGTGCAAGTAATCACCAGGTGTAGTGGCGCTCACTCTCGACCACCGGAAAACAGCGGCACCGACACTTCCTCACTGTGCACTCACTGGCCTACAAACAGATATTTTGGAAAAATAAATAATAGTAGCTGATCAAATGACAATTTTTGCGCAAAATGCGACCATTTTTTGTTTGCTTCGTTTGGAAAGCAAAGTGGCTGCTGAAAAAACACAACAAACCCTCACTGACTAACTGTGCACAGCCATCGCTGCTCCTCTGGCGCAGACACTCTTCTATCTAATCACTGAATCAGTTTTCATTTGCTACCACATTTTCTTTCGCTATCCAATCGTTGAGCAGCTTATCGCAATCCGAGTCTCCTTTCCTCTCATCTTTGAGGTCGAGGAGGAGGTACAGCTGTCCCACACCACCAGCTGTTGTGACCACCATCAATCATCTGAAATCATCCGAAATACTTTCAAGCATTTCGAAGCTGACGATGAAGGTGCTCTTCCACTGCATGGACAGCTGCGGGCACATCGCCGCGGCGACCGGCCTGGCCGAGGCCCTGGCGGCCCGGGGCCACCAGGTGACCTTCCTCGTCAGCGAGCTGCATCGAGGGCGATTCGCCCGGCTGGGCTTCGGTGAGGTGCTTCTCTCGATGAAGAAGAACAAGAGCGAGGAGGTGGAAGACGAAAATTCCAAGTCGGCTGCCGCCAAGCAGCCCTGCTTCAAGCAGACCGCCGAGCAGCTGGCTCGAAATGGCCTCCTCTCGGGCGCCTCGCCGCTGGAGAAGCTGCGCCGGCACAATGTGGGCGAGAACAACTTCCTCGATACGCTCTGCGAGAAGCTGGCCGCCTTTGACGGGCAGATGGAGGCGGCCATTGAGCGGCTGCAGCCGGATCTGCTGCTCTGCAATCAGTTCCTCACGCCACCGGCCATTCTACGGGCAGGCCTTCCCTGGATCTTTCAGGTCAGTTTTGGGGGAGTTCAGCTCTTTTTTGGTGTTCTAAAAGCAATCCGATCTCCTCCTGTTTTTTTTCAGTACCCCTGCAATCCACTGGCGCTGTACCACTCGAAGGCAAACGTCGACAAGCTGCCGCCCTTCTACTCTGGCTTCCCCGTGGCCAGCGACCCGTCTACCTGGCGCGAGTACCGCCACTTTCTGGACACTGAGTACGTGCAGCGGTACAAGCGGTACCAGGACCGGTTGAACGCCCTCTGCGGCTACGAGCCGCCACCTGCTCAGCCAACAGAAGAGTCGTCACGACCACCACCACTTGCTGAAAACGCCGACCACTTTGCCAAGTCACCCTACCTAAATGTCTTTGACTTTCCCACCGAGCTGGCCTACGACGAGATTGCTCCCACGCCGGACAACTGCCTGCAGTTTGAGGCCTTCTTCCGAGGCCCAGGCTGTGAGGCTTCATCTGAACGTTTTCACCTGCCCGAGGGATTTTTGGGCTCTAACGAGAAGCTCATCTACCTCTCCATGGGCTCCTATGGCGGCATTGACGTGCAGCTGATGCGGCGGCTGGTGGCCGTGCTCGCCCGGACGCCCCACAAGTACATCGTCTCCAAGGGACTTCGAGCGGAGGAGTATGACCTTCCAGTCAACTGCTGGGGCGAGGCTTTTCTCCCGCAGACGGACATTCTTCCGCTGGTCGACCTGGTGATCACGCATGGCGGAAAGTGAGTGCTTAGCAATGTTTTAGAAAACAAGAGGTTTACCTGTTCATGATGTTCTTCTTTTCTTCTGTTCCTTGCTCAGCAACACCTTTACGGAGGCCTTCCGCCTGGGCGTGCCCATGCTCGTCATGCCGCTCTTCTTCGACCAGATTGACAAGTCAGTTTTCGAATGTGATCCACTTTTTTCTTGGCAGCCTTTTTTAACCAAAGTTTTCTTCTTTAGCGCCCAGCGACTGAGTGAGAAGGGCTACGGCCTGCAGCTGCCACCGTACTCCTTCAGCGAGCAGCAGTTGATTGAGGCGATTGAGCGGCTGCTCGGTGATGAGCAGATTCAGGAGCGGTGCAGAAGGGCGGCGGAGAGAATCGCCGCCAGTGACACTGAGGAGAGGGCGGTGAGGCGGATTGAGGAGATGGTGCGCCGACATCACCGCCGGCACCAGGACACAGTGGTGGACTGACTGGTACTGCTTTCACTTTTTTTGCACTAGAGTTCAAACCGAAGCTACGACTACCAAATCATTGTAATGATAATCACAGCTTTCTGCCGGTGATAAAGTGCATTTTGTGTGGGATTTACATTGAGTGAGTTTCATCACGGCGGCGGCATCAGCTTACAAAACTGGCTCTCTTGAGCAGTGAGTTTGTAGTGTTGGGGAGGGAAGGACTGATCATCAGCACTGCCTCTAAAATCCCTCTGATAAGCAGGAGCGCAGCAGCGCAACACCTCACCGCACAGTCGTCTGACAATGGTACATTGGTACGACCAGTGTACAGCAGTCAGCGTCAGTGAATGGCAGTGGTTAGGGGAGCAGTGCAGTGCAATGGGTCACCTTCACGCGTTTATAAATGGAGTTTTGTCCTGCCTTTTTGCACTTTTGGCAATCGACTTTTTTGCACTCTCTTTACTGGGAGAGGTGACGCAGCACATCAGCAATAGCACCACTTCTACCACCAACTACCAAACCGACCTTGTCCTGTGCACTGCGATCACGTCCAATACTGTACAGATAGAGAAACAGACCGACGATGTACATCTTTCCCTGGTGACCACACCGGTGTCTGATTAGATAGAGCCGGCCAGCAACAGCAATAGCTGACGAGCCTATTAATAGCCACTATTTGGATGATCTTTGGGTAGCACAGTATAAAAGCAGTGTCGCCTTGAACAGAGGAACACACATCACTTCGATCTTTTTTAATTAAAAAACTTACAACAAAAAAATCAAAGCAAAAACACAAACAAAAAATGTCTGAAAGCACCGCCCCCAAGAAGCTGAAGATCATGGCCCACGCCTGCGATGGTAATGTGATTTAGAAATTGGTGCCATCTTTTTTACTAACGAATTTTTGTTTATTTTCTTACCAAATCCAAAATAGGCGTCGGTCACCTGAACGCCGTCTGCGGCATGCTGGAGAGTTTGCAGAAGCGCGGCCACCAGATCATCGTCCTCTCCAGCGAGGGCTTCAAGGGAAAGTTCGTCAAGTACGGCTTCGAGGAGATCCTCCTCACGGAGACGCCCAAGGAGTGGGGCGGAAAGGCCGGGGAGGCACCAGCCGCAGCCGCCGGCGGTGGTGGCCCTCCAGTGAACCCCATCAAGAGGATGGCCATGCACCTGAAGAGCTCCGGCATGCTCTCGCCGAAGACGCCGCTGGAGAAGCTAAAGGGCGAGGACAACTCCGGCGCCTTCCTCAAGAGCATCTTCGACCAGGTGGTGCAGTTCAATCCGCAGATTGCCGAGCACATCAAGACGCTGAAGCCGGACCTCTTCATCATCGACCACTTTATGGTAAGCAGTGGTTTGCCTGCTCATTCTCTCTTTGTAAACAAACCCACTCACTCACCCACTCGCTTTTCTTCCCCAATCAACCAACAAAACTACAGGTGCCTCCAGCACTGCCCCAGTCCGGCGTGCCCTGGGTGTTCCTCTTCTCGGGCAATCCCCTCAGTCTGTACAAGTCGGACAAGCTGCCGCCCTTTGGCGGCGGCTACGCCACCACCGCCGACCCCGCCACCTGGGCGGAGTTCAAGAAGCTGCAAGAGGAGAAGTTCCTGACCAAGTTCGCCAAGGCGCAGACAGACATCAACGCCGTCTTCAACTACAGCCCACCGGAAGGTGAGGAGGTGGGCATGATGGCGAAGCCGAAGTTCATGTCCATCTGGGGCTACCCCGCCGAGCTGGACTACTTTGACCTGGTGCCCATTCCGGAGAAGTTCGTCCGCGTGGACGCCTACTGTCGGGAGATCGCCGAGCCGTTTGAGCTGCCGGCGGAGTTCGCCAAGCGACCAGGGCGCCTGATCTACGTCTCGCTCGGCTCGATGGGCTCCGTGGACGTCGACCTGATCCAGCGAATCACCAATGTCCTGGGCAAGACGGAGCACAAGTACATCGTCTCGAAGGGGCCGCTGGGCGAGGAGTACGAGTTGCCGGCCAACTGCTGGGGCGAGAACTTTCTCCCGCAGACGAGGATTATTCCCATGTGTGATCTGGTGATTACGCACGGTGGAAAGTGAGTGCACAAATGAGTTTGAGTTGGTGTTTATAGAAAAGATGCTAACGTTTTTGTTTTCTTTACAACAACAGCAACACCATCACCGAAACCTTCAGCATGGGCAAGCCGATGATTGTGATGCCGCTCTTTGCTGACCAGTGAGTTTTGTAGTCTCATTTTTTACTTTTTCATCAAAACTAATCTCATTATTTTTATCACCATCAGGTTTGACAACGCCCAGCGAGTCACCGAGAAGGGCTACGGCATCCGCATGGAGCCGTACACCTTCGAGGAGAAGGAGTTGATTGACAATCTGAACAAGCTGCTCAATGACAAGGAGATGATTGCGAGGTGCCAGGCGGCGGCGAAGCGAATTGCCAACTCCAACAGCAAGGAAATTGTCTGCCAGAAGCTGGAGGAGCTGGTGGAGAAGTTCAAGAGCGGTCAACTGTAAACTGTTTGTAAATACTTTTGTTTCATATACTACTGCTTTTTACCTTTTTACCAATTTGTTAAGTATTCTTTCTGTTTAATAAAAAAGTCTAAAACAAAAATGGCTAACGTTGGTTTTGATTTACTAAAAATTATGCGACTGAAAATAATCTTTTCACAGAAGGGCCAAGTGTTAATTCTACTCAACTTTGAGCCAAGCTTTTTCCAGTTTTCATAAAACTGTTTTCTGAGCAAAGTTGTTTTTCACCGTTTTCCAAGTTTTCACAAGCAAACAAAGTGCACCCATTTATATTGTGCACCAGTGAAGTGTGAACAGTGCACTGAACAAAATTTGACAGCTCTCTCAAGGTGACTCAAATTATAATCGCATTTAAGAATTCAGACTTCTTAAAAAGGGTTGAAAAACTGATGATAACCAGTTTTGATTGCACAACCTTGCATGTTACTCTTTCTCACCTGTACCTTAAGTTCTATTCAAAATGCTCAGTCGGAAGTCTGTGAAGCGACGCCGATGTTTGCGTGATGTTCAGGCTCTCACTCTCATTGCATGACTGCAACTGAAAGCAAAAGTGACAGTGAAGATTGTGAAGAAGAGTCTTCTTTCCTTTAAAGACAGATAATTAAAAATGAACACTTTTAAATAAATTAGTCAAGACAATAAAATCACCAAGTAAATGCGGGTACAGAGCTCATTCACTATTTTTCACCTCTTGAAGTTGACTTCAAAGTAGAAATCAGCAGCGGTTTGCTAACAGTTAAAAAATGTTCTCACCTAAGCTTCTTCTCGCCTGTTGCCTCACTCTGGCACTGTTTCTTGATCAATGTGAGTGCATCTTTTTACTTTCACTTTCTAACTTTGCTTATCAACACTTTCCACTGATGAACTCTTTCAGACAGCGTCTCTGCCGCTCCTCGCCGCTCAGCCCGACAGGAGGAACCCGATTTTGAAGAGGGTGACGCCGAGGGCATTCCCCCAGAGACCTCCTCCGCCGGCCGAGGCTTCCTCCAGCGCATCCTCAACGTCATCCGCGGAGTGCTCACCGGCGGCAAGGCCTTCCTTTCCGGACAGACGCAGCGAATCATCGAATACGTCACCACAATTCTCAGCAATGTCATGGGCGGCCCTCGAGGAAGTTTGAAGACGAGGACCAGCGAGGCGGAGAGGGAGCTGCAGAAGGTGGCCCACGAAACGGAGCGATACGTTCGGCAGCGTTAGTTGACGTTTTTAAGAGGTAAAAAATCGTCGACTGAGAGGTTGTAAGGCAAACTGTCCCTGCAGTGCACTGTCCCGATCAAGGTCAAACTATTTTTGTTGTTGTTGCTCCCGCCACTGACACATGATATAATAAACTCGATTGCTCTCAGTCACCACCACCACCAGAAAGCACTGGAGAACAAGTGCTGATAAGGGTAAAAGTGGTTATTAACTGAGTGAATAAGTGGCCATTGTCATCGCTGGTTAGTACAGATGTGGTGATTTCACCTGCTGATAATCCCGTGGACAATAAACCAGCTGCTGCTGCTGCTGCTGATGTACTTGACTTTCGATCATTCTGTTGTTCACTTTTTTATACTGCTTTGCTGTTTGTACCGACGGCTCAACATTGAACACAGTTTACCACAGTGAACTTCAGAATGGGCAGTAACTCACTTCAGTGAGGAGAATGTGCACTACAAGTGCATCGGTGCTATATATAATTTAGGCAAGGCCACTCAAGCAAGAGCGTCGCTCTGTTTTCGTGCTGAGTCTCTTTTTTGTCGTCTACACTGCCGATAACGTTACCGCTACGATGATTGCACATGCACTGGTGCATCTGTCTACATTTTCTCCACGATCATGCTGACGGCTGACTTTGTTGGGGTATATAAAAGCGGAGAGTATCGACACAGACACCGGCACAACACACATTTTCATCTGACCATAACAACAAAAAAAAATAGCACAACTAGCAGACTAGCAAAGATGTCTCCAGTGCAAACTTCTTCTTCTTCTTCCTCAGCTACCTCCTCTTCAAAGACCAACACCTTTACCCCTGATGACGAACCAGCAGTGTACAAGTACGACCTGGAGGTGATTCAGGAGCGGGACATCGCCTCGCCCATTCACCCCATCATCGCCGCCCGTCGCTCCACTAGGGCCATGATCGGCGGAGATATTNCTCCTCTTCAAAGACCAACACCTTTACCCCTGATGACGAACCAGCAGTGTACAAGTACGACCTGGAGGTGATTCAGGAGCGGGACATCGCCTCGCCCATTCACCCCATCATCGCCGCCCGTCGCTCCACTAGGGCCATGATCGGCGGAGATATTGACGACGCGGTGCTGCGGTCCATCTTTGAAGCGTCTCGGTGGTGCCCCTCCTACTTCAACTCGCAGCCATGGAGATTCGTCTACTCGAAACGCGGCGACGCCCACTGGGCGGCCTACGTCGATGCGATGAACGAGAAGAACCGGGCCTGGGGCCAGGACGCCGCCGTCCTCGTGGTGGCCCTCTCCAAGCGGACGGTGGTGAAGCCGAGTCC